TTTTTTTGGGTCCACGTTCGGCCGTAAGGGGTCCCATACGTTCGGGCGTTTGGGACGGCCAAACGCCGGTTACCCTGGTCTGAGGTCGATTTTCCATGATGCTAAACGTTTAATGCTTCAAACGGAAGCTGGGGTCTGGTCCCACCTAACGATGTTGAGTTTAAAAAACTCATCGGTGTGAGGCCATTTCGACATTAATACATTCAAAACAAGAAATTAAAAAACTGAAAAAAACGCTAGAAACAGCTTTTCTCCTATAACGTAACTCGGAGAAATGAAACATGTCTGGAACAGTCGGAGTGAAAGTCTCCGTGAAAAGGGATACTCCCCGTGGTGAGGGGACAGGAGGTCACCATTTGTAAAATGGACAGGGACGACGTGGATGGCCAAATGCATTCATTGCCCAAAGAAGGAAACGAGTTTGATGCCAGACAGCCAAACACAGCTGTCAGAGTTCCTCCGTTTCAGGATGCAATGAGGTCTTCAAAAACCAAAAAAAGGAAAGGCACTGCCGTTGAGAAATGTACCCTACCCTCGGGAGGGTAGTTTTCTCAATGGAAAATGGCTTCCCGCCCAAACCAAAAGGGCCAACGCATACTACAAAACGGATTTCACGTCAAAGAAAACTTCTACAAAATGACTAAATCTAATAGGTTATTCTCCTGTATTTTGGTACCGTTAGATTCGCAATACATCAACGGCAGAGCTCCGTCCCACCATGCCACACGTGATAGAAAGCGCAGCGTTGAGAAAACTCAACGCTCTAGGTGGGACTCGATTCCCMCCCAGCCAGGAAAAAAAAAAAAAAAAAAGGCAAAAAAGGAGAAAATGGGACCCCCACTGCCCCAGCATGCATGCATGCATGCATAGTCGTCAAGTCTAACAGCCAAGATGATCGGCTATTCGGCTATGTTTCGCACCGGTTACCTCTGTCTATCTGTATTCCCCCGAATAGAACGCGCGGTGATTATAGCTGTATTTGACGCAACTTTCACTCTAGATACAGCAAATTATAACCGTACTTTTTCTATTCGGGTGAAGACGGGAGGTCCTGCCTGCTGGTATAGCTGAATACGGTATATTAGCTGAATTTGAGGCAACTGCCATCCAAGATACAGCAACAATGACCGCATTTTTTTATTTTTTTTTATTTTTTTTATCCTTCTCTCAATTTCACCTCTCACTACCTACCTATCGCTACTCGTATCTCAGTTGGTTAGGCACGTAAGTGCATTCAGCACGTCGTGGGTTTAATCCCCACTCACCGCCTGGGCTCGCTTAGTGCCAACCAACCAGCCAAGATAGTTGGCTTGCTTAGGCGGGTCGTTGGCCATCACGGGTGGGTGTGGGTGTGTGAGTGCTGGCTATACACACTGTTGTTACTCCATGGGGGCGGGCGAGTGAAGTAGATGGGAGGCGCAGCTGCTGGCGAAATGCTCGGTCTTTGTGTTGGGGGGCGAAATGCTCGGTCTTTGTGTTGGGGGGCGAAATGCTCGGTCTTTGTGTTGGGGGGGGAAATGCTCGGTCTTTGTGTTCGGGGGGGAAATGCTCGGTCTTTGTGGGAGCCGGCATCCCCCACCGGCGGCCCCACCCTACCCCCTGACCACAGCCGATTAGGGCCGGGCACAACATGCACAACATGCATCCTCTCGATGGTGAGAGGCAGCTATGCTTGCAGGGGTCCCCTTGCATCCATATCTATTACGTGAATAGCTGCCCCCCATACACCCCCCGCCCGCCCCCCCCCAAAAAAAACAAAAAAAAAACAATTATAGGCGATGCAACTCACTATCCCA